GAGTAAAAACTGTCCTTTATGTCCCTCTGACCAAATTAGTGTAGGCCTCAAAGTATGGATGTTAAACATCCAAGAAGTTTAGTTCCACTGGTCTGGTACTTTTATTTACCATGTGCTATGTAGATAAAGCTTGGAAAAAGACCAAACTTGCCCAGACATATATTATATTCCCTTAGCTAGTTGTATGTATACTTTGTCACTAGGTTGTTCAATTAATATGGTTCCTTCTGTTTTTTTTTTTTTCAAACTAGCTAGGCATTATTTATCTCTTGCATTGTCTAACCATTCCACCATGGTTTCTCTATTTAAAGTGCCCCCATTTTTCCCATTTCTCCCTTAAAAATACCCTTCTCCTATGGTCCCACCTCTCTTGAGCTCCTTCTTTCCCTTCATCCCCAAGGTTCCTTGTATAACACTCCCTCACCCCTCCCCTTAAAATAGCCCCATTTTTACCCACATCTCCCTTATTAACACCTGTTTCCTACTGTTCTCTTTCAGATTCTTTCTTTTCCTTTACCTCCCTGGTTCCTTTTCATTATCCTGGTTCCTGTAGTTATGTCTGGATACATACTCACTTATAAGGATTTGGTGCTCGGATCCACATATGAGGGGGAACATACATCGTTTTCTCTTCTGTCTTACTTCACTTAGTATAACAGTTTCTAGTTCCATCCATTTACCTGCAAATTTCATGATTTCATCTATCTTTACTGCTGAGTAAAACTCCATCATATAAATGAACCATATTTTCTTATCCACTCGTCAGTTGAGGAACACTTAGGTTGCTTCCATCTCTTAGCTATTGTGAAAAGAACAGCAACACACATGGATGTACAAGTGTCTCTGCAATAGGATGAGTTTTTTGGTGTATGCTGCGATTGAGCAGCCCAGACTGAAGCAGTTCAGCCTGATGGGAACAGGGTCTCCAAGAGGGTGGACAAGGATTTGGCGAATGACAAACAGACCAACACACAGAAGTTTGGTGAAGATCTGAGTGTATTTTTGCAGCTGCAGGGCTCAGATTATATATTACAAAATTACATGATTACATCCGTAAGCCATTGTTCTGTGGTTAAATTTTTTTTAAAGAGTTTTGACTTTAGAAACAAAAGCGAAACACAGGTCAATCAAAATACATTGCCAAAGCATGTTATTATCTTAACAAGCATTAGCTAATGTTAAACAGAAAGTTTTTTTGTTTTTTATCTTGGTGAGTTAACATTAGAGACTGTCAAAGTTTATATTCTATGGTTATGCAGTGAGATGACCTCAAACCCATATGTGCTTTCAATATTAGCACTGCAATCATTAGTATTTCTATTTGAATTCCAGGTGATTCACAATACTGTTGTTTTATATTTGTTTTTTGTTTTTTCCTGTTTATTATACTGTCCCAAACTCCAAGTAATATCAGTATCCCATTCTAATCCTGTAGCTCTCATGAAATCCTTTCATGTATGGGACTTATAAATATAATTATCCCATTTTTCAAGAAATAAACATTTTTCCTCCTATATTAACCCATCTACCCCCTTCCTTATCATATGCTCTTGTAAAAGGCAGTGGTTCATCTGTAGGTACTGGAATTTTATACATACGTTCTTTCCCTTTCGGTGGATGCCATAATCTACCTCCTGTCCTGTAGGAAATACATCATCTTTAGGATCTTCCAACATTAGCTCTGTTTGTTCTATTTTGTCCATGATATTTCATGACTGATTATTTCTAGCAGCCTTTATTATAGCTTTAAGCAGTAAAGGTGCATCAGGAGACAAGGTCATCTGAGGAAACCGAGTTCCTAGATACCCATAAAAGAATGACAGTCATAAAGATAATAACAAGCAAAATACAGCCAAGTACACTGAAGATCTTCTTTGCACTGCCAGTTCCAAGAGGCAACCTTCCTTGAAGTTTCAGCCTCAACCCGCAGAGGATCTCACGCGGGCTCCATTGGAGATGGCATGACAGTATGCCAAGGAGCGGTATAACTGGGTCAAATGGTAGCTTCATTTGTAGTTTTTTTTTTAAAGTTCTCCACACTGCTTCCCATAGGGGCTGAGCAAGTTTGCAATCCCACCAGAAGTGGATGAGAATTCCCCTTTCCCCACATCCTCTCCAACATTTGGTATCATTTGTTGTTTTGATCTTAGCCAGTTGGACTGGGATAAGATGAAATCTTAAAGTGGTTTTAATTTGCATTTTCCTAATTACTAATGATGCTTCTTAGCCATCTTTATTTCTTCTTTTGAAAAATCTCTTCTCTATTCATCTCCTTTTAATTGGGTTGCTTCCTTTCTTAATTCTTTGTTTTCTGAGTTCCTTATATATTCTGGATGTTAAGCCTCTGTCAGATGTGTTGCTGGTAAAGATTTTCTCCCATTCTGTGGGTTTTCTATTCATTTCCTTGGTTGCTTCTTTTGATGTACAGAAGCTTTTTAGTTTAATGAGGTCCAATTTGTTGATTCTTGACATTGTTTCCTTAGCAACTGATGTCCGATGTAGAAAATTCTCACCTATATCTTGTAGGTTATTGCCAATGTTTTCTTCTAACAGATTCAGACTTTCAGGCTTCACATTGAGGTCTTTGATCCATTCGGAGCTGACTTTTGTGCCAGGTGAAAGATGGGGGTTTAGTTTCATTCTTCTACAGGTGGAGATCCAGTTTTTCCAGCACCATTTGCGGAACATGCTGTCTTTCCTCCAGTGAATGTTCTTGGCTCTTTTGTCAAATATCAGGTGGCTGAAATTGCATGTACTCATTTTTGGGTCTTTAATTTTGGTCCACTGAGCTATGAGTCTATTTTTTGCCAGTACCATGGTGCTTCTATGACAATAGCTCTGTAATAGTATTTAAAATCCGGTATAGTAATCCCCTCAGCATTGCTTTTAGATAGCTTTGGCTCTCCGAGGTCTTTTGTGCTTTCATATGAATCTTAGGATTTTTTTTTTCAGTTCTGTGAAGAACGTCATGGAGATTTTGATTGGCATTGCATTGAATCAATAAATGCTTTTAGAAGATGGTCATTTTCACCATATTAATTCTTCCAATCCATGAGCATGGGAGGTCCTTCCATATTCTGCTATCTTCCTAAATCTCTTTCTTTACAGATTTAACATTTTCATTGTGGAGCCGTTTAATGTGTTTGGTCAGGTTTATTTCCAGATATTTTATTTTATTATTATTATTTTTTTGCAGCTTTTATGAAAGGGAGTGTTTCCATGTACTCTTTCTCTGATTGTTTGTTATTGGTATATAGAAAGGCTGCAGGCTTTTGTAGATTATTTTTGTAACCTGCCACTTTGATGAACGTGTTAATAATTTCTAGGAGTTTTCTGGTGGAGTTTTAGGCGTCTCTTAGGTATAATATCATATCGTTTGCAAAACGGGATAATTTGGCCTCTTATTTTCCAATTATTACTCATTTAATTTCCTTCTCTTGTCTTATTTCTCTTTCAAGAATTTCAAGCACTTTGTTAAAAAGAAGTGGAGATAGTGGACAGCTTTGTCTGGTTCCTGATTTTAATGGGAATGCTTCCAGTTTTTATCCTTTTGGAATGCTTTCTATTGTTTTTTGTTTGTTTTATTTCATGAATTTCTGCTCTGATTTTTGTTATTTCTTCTTGTCTTCTGGATTTGGGTCATTTGTTGTAGCTTTTCAAGTGTCTTGAGTTGCAATATTAAGTCATTTGTTTGTGTTCTTTCTAATTTTTAGTGTACTTATAAACTTATAAACTTCCCTCTAAGGACTGCTTTCAATGTGTCTCAGAGGTTTTGTTGTGTTGTATTGTCCTTTTCATTTAGTTCCTGTCGAACCCCCCCCCAAGCCCACCAGGCTTGGGTCTTCAACAAAAAGGACACTCAGGCATACGTCTGAAATTATGGGAGGAATTTATTAAAGGGACAGCAGGTACGGAGAGGAGAGTGCTCTCAGGAGGGAAGAATCTACAGAGGGGTCCCACAGGTCCTTCCACCTAGGTGATTCTTGACAACAGAAACAAAAGGGTTACTAAGAGACAGCACGAAGGCTGAACTGAAACTAACTTTCTAGAAGACTTGATTTATCAACCAGGTACAGCCTGTCAGCTCTGACTGCTGAAGCAGAGAGCTCAGAAGCTCTTAAAGTGACACTCTCCAAATTTCCGATGCTTATGGCAAGCATGGCTCCCGACATATCCCCCTTTCTTTTTATATTTTTAAAGATGAAGTACATGCCAAGACTTGTGATGGAACGACCGTGCCTGTCTTGGGTTGTCCTCTGCCAGAGTGAAAGCCGTTGGGGGCGGCTGGCATCCCGCTTTCTTCTGAGAGAATCTTACCCATCTCTGGCTAACCGGCCTCCTGAAAGCTCCCAGTGAATGGCCACGGCCTTGGGGAAGAAACGGGAAATGCCACTGAGGCACAGTGTCACGGAGAGAAATTGAACTGCAGGACCAGAGCCTGGAACCGAAATATGGCCAAATCATGTAGCATTTAAATTGTAACTTGTGAATTTGGTTTCTTGATTTTTGAATGTGTTACCTGTAAATTCTCTATCTGTGCAAAAATTCTCTATCTGTGCAACAGGAGGTTAGGCAGAGCCTAAGTCCCCACCTCTAAATGAACAAAAAGGACCTCACAGCCCAAGGGGTCAAAGGGAGGACATAAGGGAAGAAGTACTACGCAAAGGAGCATAACAATGGTGCATAAATCATGTGGGAGAAACAAGCAATCAACCAGGGCAGAGATGCATCAAAGTAGAACAGTGGGTGCCAGGCGATGGAAACAGTCCAAGGGCAGAGCAAACAGAGTCCAAAACATCGATCCAGGAAAACTGGGAACAGCGGAGGTGACGATGGATTGTACAGCGATGACATAGGTGGCACGGAGTCCAGGCAGAGAAGAGTAGGACGGCAACAGCAGTGGAAGTAATGTGACGGGAGTGAACACATCATGGTGATATCCTGTGAAAAAAGCGGAAATACACCCCCTTCCCTGGCCACCACAGGGCTGGGTAGCCATGTTAGTGAACAATAGTAGCGGCGGTGTCCTTTTGAAAATGAAGAGCAGAAAAGATGAGTGCAGCAGCCCATTTGTGAGCCTTCCGCTGCAGACAACGAGATACACAGCAACCACCGATTAACAGTATACATAGAACAATCACTAAAGTAACCAAAGAAGAGCCAGAGCTATGCAAAATACTCTGAAACCATCTGCGAGGATCAAGACCAGAGAGAGAATTTGCTAAAGAAGTAGCTATTTGATCAATAGAAGTAGCAGAAGGCAATTCTTCTGAAAATGCTGCAAAGATTTCTTCCTGCAATTGCATCTCATTAAATGTAGCATTATCCATTTTACCCTGAATGTACATCTCCAAATTGTGCCATTCATAAAGAGAGTCATTAAATTTATAAGGAGTGATGCAAATCTGAGTAGAATTCCAATCACAGACATATTGTACAGTTTCCTGCAATTCCAAGAATTTACTACCTAACCAATGAAATCCGCTTTGTAAAGCCACGATTTCATCTTGTAAGTGAGAATTAACCTGAGCCTGCTGTGTCCAAAGTTTATGGGGGTTGTCATGCCAATGTTCAACAAAAGTCTGTGATTGTGCAGATTTCTGCAGCGCCACACCAGCAGTAGTTGCGGTAGCGGCCAAAGCAATAAGACCTAAAATAGCAGCAATAATCAGACCAATCATACGTTTACCATGCCGTAGCAACCTTTTGAAAAATCTCAGAATCAATCCTTGAGCAGGACTGATTTCCCAGGAATGATGCATTTTCACAGGAATCCATAAAGAATTCCTTTGAGTCAAAATCATAACAGAGTCAAAAGCTGGGTCAAAGGCTATAGAGTTGTTAAGACATGTATACAAACAACAATTTTGGCAGGTTAAGTTCATGTCCTGAATGACCACATGTCCAATTAAGATTACTAGAGGAAAGTACACACAAGCTGAAACATTATAATGTCTAACTTTAGTAAAGTCATAAAATACCTTATCATAAGTAAGGGCAACAGTTCCATTAAAGAGTTCTGCAGGCTTAAGAGCAGCTAGCAATTTCCAAATACGCATTTGAGGAGGATATAATGTATGTCCTATTCTTAACTGAGGTTGAGGATTGGCTAGGCCTCCATCCACCCAACTTACGGCATTAGTAGTAGTGGACTTATCTGTCATGGGGATGACATCATGTAGATCACACTTAGAGACAAAGTCTGTATAATCTTCACATTTTTGTAACCAGTTCCCTGAAGGACCAAGTATGATTCCTGGACCTATAAACTTTCCCTATTAACCCTTTACAATCTTGCCATATCAAGGCTTGCCTTTCAGAAATCTGAGCATAGGACAAACTTTCACATTCTGGGAGAGATGGAGCAGCTGTAGTCTCATATTCAGTCCAAGCTGAATCTATTGACTGAGCAGAAAACCATAACATCTCTGGATGGCTACGGGACCATTTACCTCCTGGAACAACCCAATGGTGCTGTTTTATAGGATAGCATGGAGGAACTCCAAAGCACATGATATCAGCTGTAACAAATTGAGTATAATTGAACAGTGTTCCTTCTTCATCAGGAAACTCCGGCTGAACTGTTCCATAAGGAGGTGACAAAACATTCATAGGAGAAGTAGGAACCACGATAGTGGGCTCATTCCAAGTATAAGGATGAAGAAGAGGAGGATTAGGCACATGAGCCCAATAAGTGGTCTCAGCTGTAATGACAGAAATCCAACTGCATAAATGAAAGATGATGACAAACAGAAGGCTCCTATGGGAGGAAAACATGACTAGAGACAATAGTAATATTAGTCTTCAGATGCTAAATAAGCTATACCTGATAGTAGTCCTAAAAACAATGTAGTGAAGGTGAAGAAAAGCTACAGAGTTGTTAAGACAAGTATACCTAAATAATTGTTGAAGTGAAGTCATAAGTTGTAAAGGAAATAGGACTGTGAAGGCATACACCAAGGTAGGAAATAAACTCACCAGGAGTGGACGCTAAATGATGATACCCATGTATAACAGACGTATATTACACACCACAACCCCAGCAACCAAGGTGACAGGCAACAAGGTTACTAAGGGTATGGTATACAACACATCCCTGTTGTGATCTTGTTGCCCTGGAGACAGCACATATTTTAGGCAGTTCCTAGATAACTGTTGGTTTTCAAGGTAATGGGAAACAAACATGACATGGTTAGCTGAAAACAAGCATTAACAGAAATGACTGAAAGTTAAGCGTAAGTGTGTTGTGTATTCTATGGGACATTCATCCAGGAGTGAGTGGTATTCTCAGAACCAGTTGTTTAGCTATAGGGTGTAACAAGTGTTGAAAGAGATAACATGTTCACCACAAGGGGAAACCTAGAAAAGACATAACTAAATTCTTATAGACAACATACTTCACTGAAATGCAATGTACATGTTAAAAGAAGGTATCAGGAAGATTGTTCTAGCAAAACTGGAGACATTTACTTTTTCTGTGAAGGAAGACCATAGGGTTTGGCACACTGGCAGCAGTGATACATGTCATGAGCTGAGCCAATGTTAGAACAATATCTAATGTAATCTGACAAAGATCCTTTTTTTCTATATGCTTTCAGAACTGCTTGACAGGTAGCATTTGCATTTTTGTACACTAAGCGTTTCACAAGCCGAGTATTAGCCTGACAGCCAACAAACAACCTAGACACAAAGTCTTGATAGGACTCATCAGGGCCCTGCTTGATTTTAGTCGGGTCCTCAGTGTGTCCTCTTATAGGAGGCAGCTCATTCCAGGCCTTTTTTGCTGCAACATTAGCTTGAGCGTATATGGCATTTGGGAAATTTAATTGTTGTGCCATTTCCTTATATTGGCCTTCTCCTGTAAGCATATCAAAAGTAACTGGAATATGGAGATGCTTATTTAGGTCAGCTTTAGCCAGACAGAATTTGCTAAAATGTGATCTCCATATGAAATAGTCTTTGGTGGACAATTTTTTGCCAGTGCTTTCCAATCATTAGGAGGCAACTGCTCAGTAGGCAGGGAATCTAACACAGCTCGAGTAAAGGAAGCTGTAGGGCCTTGCTGCAGACAAGCAGATTTAAAAGTTTGCAAGGCTTTGAATGGAAACAGAGTATCTCTAGTACTCTGATTGTCATGGGGCTCCATGAGTGACATGAAGCCTGACACATCCTCACCTGCAGCAGTGGCTTGCCACACAATCTTTTGTAATGGAGACATGGCAGGTGCAGTAGAAGGCATACAGACCTGTGTATGAATTGGTGTAGGCCTTAACTGGATGTCCTTTTCAGGTTGTATTTGTATTATAGTGGATGACAACTGGGCCTGTGATTGCAGAGCCGTAGCCTCAGTAGAGGATTCAGAGGACTCCTTAGGGTGGTCTCGCACATCATCACACAACTCTTGGACCGTTTCTGTTGTATCAGCCATTGTACAGTAATCTCGAATGAGAATCCAGAGCGTGAGAGTCTCCTCTGGTGTTCCTGCTTAATATAATACATTTTTAACTCGGCACCCACTTTATACCATACATCTAATGTCAAGGGACCCTGTCCAGGAAACCAAGGGCACACTTCCTCAAGCAATTCCACAAATGCAGTCATGCCTTGTGAACTGCATCTCACACCTTGTTCCTGAAGTATATGCTTGAGCCGACCCATAGTTCTGGGGAAGGAAATAACCATTAACCAAAGCAGGAGAAGAATCTGATAAAGTTAATAGGAATTAGAATTTGTTAGCAAGGGTGGAAGGCACAAGTCGAGGTGTGTTCTTGTTTGTTTCCAAACCCTGTCGAGGAAGGGTCCTGTGGAGTAAAAGAGGTGCATATGTATCGAGCAGGGTACCATGATAACATGTAATAAACTGAAGGCAGAGATCTAGTAGTCAAGGATGACAGAAACATACACAATGGGCTGTTAAAGTGACAAACGACAAGGTGGGACTGAGTATCCATGGAAACACAAACATCCACAACATCAAACCTAGATCCTGAAGAATATACTGTTAGCCATTTTTGAATTCTGAAAAATAAGACATCAACTTAACAGCTGGCTGCATGTTGCACAATCCGCTGTAATGGGGCATTAAGGACAAAAGACAGGAAGTAAAGAAAATGTCATTCCTTAGAAAATCATGGAAGTCAGGAGCAGAAATGCAGGATGGCGCAGCCACATCATGCTGGGCCACAGCTTCAAGTGACTACGTCCCACCTTATGCATAGGAGCACTGACAACCACGACTGCAGACCAGGCATAACGAAAAAGGAGAGGGACAACAGGAAGGCAATTGCAGCAGCAAACCCAGCAACAGAATTGTTTAGATGTTTCATTATAGTAATCTCACAAATCATTAAATACAAAGCATTGTATAGCCCATGACCTGAACTTAACACACCTTGTTTTTAGAAAGTTCATTCTTTACAAATCTCGTAGTTTCGTTTACTGTCCTAAAAGGAAGAGTTAGAGTCTTTGTGTTTGTCCTCCATGATCTGGAGTCACACAGTCCTGTTAAGCATAGTGGTATGCATTCATCAAGGCAACACTTGACTGAACAAGGGAGAGATAGGACTCTCCCCTGATTCAGAAAACCATTGAGTCCATGGCACAATAGCCACAAGAAAGGGCACAGCTGCATCACGCTGGGCTGCAGCTTCAAGCAACCGAGCCCCAATCCCAAAGACCATGCACCACGAGACCCTAAATAGTGGTACCCAGATATCCAAATCTTGTCAAAAAAATGCAACAGGACAAAATAAAAACTAGCAGTATAAAGGTTAAACTTCTGATCCGGAAATCTTTGAAAAACTAAAACCACAACATGCAGTTCAGCAACCTGTGCTGAAGACGGAGAGGTATGAATCACTACGGTGGTCCCATTAGCAACATAGGAAACACATCCATTAAAAAGCCCATCTGTGAATATCAATAAGGCATGTGGCAAGGGAACTGAGCATGTAACTTTACAAAATATAAAATCAGTGGTTTGAGAAGCAGCTAGGGCAAGTTTCCCAGGCCGCAGAAGTTTGAAACAGCCAATCCACCTGGGACTTTGTAAAAGGAACTATGAGTTTAGCAGGTTTTTGTCCACAATACTTTGTAGATTCAGACCTGAGGAGCTGAATCCAAATTGATATGACTTTAAAGTATGGACGTAAGACTTTAGCAGGGAAGACAGGCAAGTGTATCCATCATAATGGAGCATAACTGTTGCTTAGCAATAGTGGATCTAACCCTCCCGGCACAGTGCAGCAGGAACCCCCTACAAAGCCACTTCCTACTACACAGTACCAAGAAGGCCAAACCCACCAACAGCCACCAACCTGGCAGCCTGGCAGCCCACCCCCAAACCCCCCCGGCGGCACGCAACCACATCATGCTGGGCCGCAGCTTCAAGCAGCCACGTACCATCCAAGGAAGGCCCAGGGGAGACGCGGGTGACCAGGACAACCAAGGGCAACAGAGCAACACACCAGGTTGTCAAGGCAACATAAAACACAACCATGGAACAATAGGGTTCAACAAGCAACCATGGCAACACACAGAAACATTACCGTTAAAATGAGACAAGCAAAGCAATTATGGAGATACAAACAAACAGAACGTTGTGAAGTAGAAAAAACGAATCCATAAAAAATTTTAATTTATGACTGATATCAGTAAGCCAAATTTGTACTTTTTACAGTGTGTGCAATATTGTTATAGACGTCTTTTGTAAAATCATGGAACTTGAAACAGAGTACGATAGATAGATTCAAGAGCTCATCACGAGTGATTTCTGCCACAAATCACCTGTTCATTACTACATGTAGCTCCTGGTGAAACTAGAACCTCTCCGGCAGCTGGTGTTTGGGTTCAAACCTCTCCAGTGGCACACAGCTGCATCATGTTGGGCCACAACTTCAAGCAGCTATGCACCAGCCACAGAAGGCCGGGCACCAGTGCCAAGAAAGGCTCAGCTCCTGCCACAAACCACACGTAGAGCTCCAAGACACATCGCAAGCGGCCTCTGCCACAAGCCACCCACGTAGAGTTCTCCTCACAAGCAACTTCTGCCACAAATTACTTGCTCAGAGTGCTCAGGATGCCACATCACATACCTGAGCCACCAACCTGTGCTGTTGGGAAAGAACACAGAAAGACAAGTTCCAAAAATGTCATTGTCCAAACA